AAAATTTTTCAATAAACGTATTTCGGCCTTTCTTTTCAAATAATTTTTAGGTCGTAAAAGATAGCTTGAATCTATTAAATTTATGTTAAAATTTACATAATTATCTTTAATTTGAGCTATTATTCGTCGCCTTTTGATCCATTTTTCAATTCATTTCGTAGTTTGGAAAATTAAAAAAAATCTAGAATAAATGAATTTTTAGCTTTTATTATCAAATAACTTTCATCTGTTACAAATCCTATTTTTTTAGGTAGATGTCTTTAAATATCTATTTATTGTAGTCGGTCTCATATCGTTATTTGCAAAATTATGATAAAAAATACATTTTAGGACATTATTGCCTTTTAATAACGTGTTTTTTTTTAATATTCAAACGAGAAATCTACCTATCCATGTCGGGTATGGCCGAATGGCGCTTTTTTTAAATTTAAATATTATTTTTGCAATTTGCTATTTTTCCTTTGTTTGCTACTACAAGGTATACAAACACTCATGTGTATTTTTAGTAGATTTTATAAAAATCTAACTATTGCAGCCATCCTCATGGCGCAACTTTTTAAAAATTTAGCCATTTTCTGACTCAGTTTTTCGAACTGAGTCAGAAAATGTAGTTCGTTCAAATGTATGTATTTATACGATACTAGCAGTTCACCCCGGCTTCGCACGAATATTTAACGAAAATTTCAAAATTTATTATAATATAATATAACCTATGTCATCCGGGGATAGTGTAGCATTCCAACAGTGAAAGAATTTTTCAAATCGGTTCAGTAGTTTCGGAGCCTATTCGATGCAGACAAACAAACAAACAAACAATCAAATCTTTCCTCTTTATAATATTACACAGTAAAAAATATTGTGTATAATCAACACAATTTCTGTGTTAAATACCGTCAACACAAAATCAGTGTTAAATTTGTGTTATTTTAACACAAAGCTTGTATCATTTTAACACAAAAGTGTGTTGAATTTTAACACTAATTTTGTGTTGACGGTATTTAATACAATATTTTTTACTGTGTAGTATAGATAACGCGGCTTGTCAGCACGATAGCGTTTTCAATTTATAACCGATTCTTCTCAAACTCAACATGCTTTATCTATCGATAAAGACCAAGGTTAAGTTCAAAGATGAGCTTAATCGGGCGAGTAATTTGGAAGTGACAGGATTTTGAAATTTTGAAAATCGTAAAAATTGATGTTTTTACTACTTCAAATTGGTATAATTACTGATCTAGACCAGATATCAAAATTCGGTAAGTTGCATCGTAAAGCTCTTTTATTAAGCTTCAATTTTCACTCCTCAAAAATGGTAATAGCTTTAATATTACTCCTTTTAGAGTTCGTTTAATAAAACCGTTTTACTGTTGCAGTCGTTTTAGAATTATTGTCTGTATCATAGCATAATTATGATGTAGATTCAATAATTACGATATTGATCAGTCTTTCGTGTAATGCGTTCGGGTAGGTCATCAGTAAATATGTCAAATTAGTTCTAAATATTGTTTTCTTCAATTAAAATTTTATCCGGTTTTAAAATTCTGATTAATAAAATTTGGACATTGATGATATAAATCTTATAATCTTTGAAATTTTTGATAAATATTTGAGGAACTTTTTCTTTACAAGATAATTTTTTTAACAAAATTAGTTTTAAATTTATTATTGAATTCTGTTTTTATTCAATGAGTTAAATTATACATTATTAGTAATAATATGATCAGGATCACGGGTAATTGGATAAAAATAATGTTAATCAATTTTATATTTTATATTTTTATATTATTTTTCCAGAGGTTGATAAAGTCTTAAGAATAAAATTCAATCAGTTTTTTTTTTATTAGCTTGAGATTCACTTTGCGGTGATTGGTATTGCAAATGGACATCTTACTTAGTTTTGTTTAATCGTTTTTAATGAAAAACTAAAATAATAAAAAAAAAAAAAAATACACGTAAGTGTTTGTATACCTTGTAGTAGCAAACAAACAAAAATTAGCAAATTACAAAAATAATATTTAAATTTAAAAAAAGGCCATTCGGCAGCCGAAATGGAAGTAGATTGTTCAAATAAAGAAAATATATTTCTAATAAAATAATATTATTATTAATTCATTTTTATAATACGGTTCAATTCCAGTTCAATAAAATAGTAATATGGTTAGGATCACGGGTAATTGGATAAAAATAATGTTAATCAATTTAAACAATCATTGATTTGCAACGTTTCATCTTTATTCTTAAGACTTTATCAACCTCTGGAAAAATAATATAAAAATATAATTGTTTAAATTGATTAACATTATTTTTATCCAATTACCCGTGATCCTAACCATATTACTATTTTATTGAACTGGAATTGAACCGTATTATAAAAATGAATTAATAATAATATTATTTTATTAGAAATATATTTTCTTTATTTGAACAATCTACTTCCATTTCGGCTGCCGAATGGCCT